ATGGAATTTTTTTTTTCCCCATCCTTTCACTTTCAACTTGTCTGTGTCCTTGGGTTTAAGATGTGTCTCTTGTAAACAGCATACAGTTGGATCATGTTTTTTTATCCATTCTGCCACTCTCTGCCTTTTGATTGGTGCATTTAGTCCATTTACATTAACTGTAATTACTGATAAGAAGTGACTTTTGCCATTTTATTATTTTTGTGTTTTAAGCCTTCTTTGTCTTTGTCCTTTAGTACTGCTTGCTTTTGTGTTTTGTTGGTTTATTGTGGTGAGTCTTTTTGGTTCCCTTCTGCTTTCCTTTTGTGTATGTTTTATATATATATATTAGTGGTTACCATGAATATTAGATTTAAGAGCTTGTATTTATAACATTCTAAGGTAAGTTGGTACCAACATAATTTCAGTAACATACAAGAAATTCTATATTTATACCATTCTGCTGCCCTCTTTCGTTGTTATCACTAATTCCATCTTTCTATTTCATGTACCCTGTTACATAACTTTATTCCCGTCTTTTATATACTTGTTATTAAAACAAACACGTAGGACAAAACATTTAGTATTACCAAGCATGAATATCTTATTACTGCCCTTATACTTTTCCATGCATTTCCTTTTATTTGGGATCTTTTTTTTTTTTAATGTATAGTTTGAATTACTTTCTAGTGTCTTTACCCTTCCATCTACAGAACTCCCATTAGTATTTTTTGTAAGGCCAGTTTGGTGGATATGAACTCTCTCTGTTTCTGTTTGTCTGGGAATATTTTAATTTCACCCTTATTCTTGAAGGATAGTTTTGTGGGGTATAGAATTATTGGTTGACATTTTTTCCCCAGTACTTTAAATATATCATTCCATTGCTTTTGGCCTCCAATGTTTCTGAGGAAAAATTGGCACTTAATCTTATTTGGGATCCTTTGTATGTGACTGTTTGCTTCTCTCTCACTGCTTTCAGAATTCTCTATGTAGCTTTAATTTTTGAGAGTCTAACTATGATGTGTCTTGGTGTAGATCTCTTTGGATTTATCCTGCTTGGGGTTCTTTGAGCTTCTTGAATTTGTAGATTCATGTCTTTCATTAGATTGGGGAAATTTTCTGTTGTTATTTCTTCAAATATTCTTTCTGTCACTTTCTCTGTCTCATCTCCTTCTGGAATTCCCATGATGTGTATATTAGGTCTCTTGTTGTTGTTCCATAATCCCATTAAACTTTGCTCAGCCTTCTTGAGCCTCTGTTTTTATTGCCTTTCAATATCTATCATTTTAAGTATCTTATTTTCTAACTCTAATATGGAGCCCTGGTGGAGCAGTGATTAAGAGCTCAGCTGCTAACCAAATGGTCGACAGCTCAAATCCACCAGCCACTCCTTGAAAACCCTATGGGGCAGTTCTACTCTGTCCTATAGGGTCGCTATGAATTGGAATTGACTCAAAGGCAATGGAGTTTATCCTCTAATTCACTGACTCATTCTTCTGCCTCATTAAATCTGTTGGTAAGTCCTTCTGTTGTGTTTCTCATTTCAGTTATTGTCCCTTGCAGTTGGAATATCTCTGAATAGCTCTTTTTTTAGATCCTCATTTAGTTTGTGTATTGTTTTCCTTTTCTTTTAGCTTTTTTTTTTTGATGTTTCCCCTTAGTTTTTAAATTATATTTAATTTTGTTGTATTATATTCTTCCATTTTTTCATTATTTGGTCATCCCTGTATTTGCTTTCATTATCTTTGTCATGTTCATTTGGATGGGCCACTGTTTCTCTGTTCTTTGTGTGTTTTGTGATTTTTTATTGGTACATTGAAATTTTTGAGGGTAACTGTCTCAGTTTTCCCCAGTATTTGGTGTTTTTGCGTGCACTACTTTCCTCAAGGCACTCTTATGTAGGCAGGGCCTTTGGCCTTTTTTTACTATTTGCTCTCCCCCTCTGTGATAGCTCTTTCTCCCTCCCTGGTTTAATTGAGATTCAAAAGTTTCAGATCTCATTTTTCAACTTTCAATATCTCCAAAACACACCAGAGAACATGTTGTGGTCAGTCTGTACACCAGTGGGCACTGCCACTCAGGTTAGATATCATGTACTAATCAATCTGTCCACCAGGGGGACACAGTTACCTATCTCTGGTTTTTACTCCCTCCTCTGCTTCCATAATCACATTTTTATTAAAAAAACTGACACCCAGTGAGCCCTCTTTGGGGCTGGGTGTTGCCCTCCAGTTTTGCCTGAGTTCTCCTTTCCTGCTCTGTGGGTGCTGCTTATATCTGAGCTGGCATTCAGCGGAAGTAGAGGCAGACTTTCCTCCATTTCAGAAGGAGGAGGGACCGGCACTCCCCAGAGGGACCTCTGAGAGATCTGTCTTGTTGGTTTTAGAGCCCCAGTGGCCCTGTGGTTGTTAGGAGATCAGTCTCCATTTAGGTGACCCAGTTCCTGACTTCATTGTAGGGAACCTTCTGTAGGAGTTTGTATTAGTCCAGCAGCTGACAGTTACTGATTGGGGGAAGGGTAGTCACACTCTGAATGGACCCTCAGGGAGGTCTGCCTTGTTGCTATCAGAGCCTTCCCACTTAGTTTGTTGATTGTGAGTATAGCTTCCATTAAAGATACCTTCTTCCAGCACACAGCAGCCTCAGTCAGCAATCCTCAGTGCTGACTGCATAGGGGAGCAGACTGACCCAATCTGATCCCCAGGGATGTCTGTCTTGTTGGTTTCAGAGGCCTGAGCTATGGGCTGCACAGGGAGGCAGATAGCGTGCTGACTACAGGAGTAGATTCCTCTGCAGAGGCCTTCTGTAGTAGTTTGCATTAGCCTGGAACCAACAAATTATCAGGTGGGGGAGGTGGTGTCTCACTGCAGTCAGATCCCCATGGAGGTCTGCCTTGTTACTATCAGAGTTCCTCCCCCGCTGGTAGATTGTTGGCTGTGAGAACAGCCTCCACTCAAGACTCCTGCTTCTAAACACACAGCAGCCTCAGTCAGTAGTCCTCAGCACCAACTGGAAGTGGTGGCACACTAACCTTAATTGACCCCTAGGGAGGTTTACCCTGTTGGTTTCAGAGGCCAGAGCTATGGGTTGCACAGGGAGACAGGTAGAGAGATGACTATGGGAGGACACTCCACTGCAGTGCCCTTCTGTAGCAATTCACAGCAGGCTTGCAGGTGACAATGTCCAGCTGGAGGAGGGACTGTCACATTTCAAATAGACCTTCAGAGAGGTCTGCCTTGTTGCTATCAGAGTCCTCCATGTAGTATGCTGGCTGTGGGTGTAGCCTCCACTAAAGATGCTTGCTTCTTAGCACACAGCAATCTCAATCAGCAGTCCTCAGCGCTGACCAAAAGGAGGAACAGACAGAACTTAACTGACTCCCGAGGTCTGTCCTGTTGGTTTCAGAGGCCTGAGCTATTAGGTGCAGAGGGAGGCCGGTAGAGTATTTACTATAGGAGCACTGCAGGGACCTTCTGTAACAGTTCACAGTAGACTTCCAGCAGACAGTGTCCAGGCAGGGGAGGTGTTGGCACACTAAAAATGTATCCTCAGGGATGTCTGCATTATTGTTATCAGAGCCCCTCCTGGAATATGTCGGCTGTGGGTGTAGCTTCCACTAAAGATGCCTGCATCTTAGCACACAGAAGCCTCAGTAAACAATCCTCAGCACTGATTGAAAGGGGGAGCAGATAGACCAGTACTGACTCCCTGGGAAATCTGTCCTGGCTGTTTAAAATGCCTGAGCTACGGGATGTGCAGGGAGGTAGGTAGAGTGTTGATTTTGAGAGCAGACTCCACTGCATGGGCCTTATATAGCATTTTGCAGTAGGCTTGCAACTGACAGTGTCTGGGTCTGGGTGGGGAAGGTGCTGGCACAATCCAAATGGACCCCTGGGGAGGTTTGCTTTGTTTTAGGGCAGAAGCTTAGGGTCCTTTTTCTTTGTACAGGCAGGAGCTGTGGTCATTAGGGATGCAGGATCTTCTCCTGGGGACACTACTCCAGTTCACAGCAGCCAGTGGCCCACATGGCTGGGGAGAGGCAGAGACAGTGGGAAAAATGATTTTCCTACCATATGCAACTCATTGATTTTTTGATTCTTGCCTGTCTGCAGTTCCCTGCTACTTTCCTTTGCTCCCCTATTCAGTGTCCCTCAAAGTCAAGCACCATTAAATTGTTACATCTCTTGTTGTGTTTGTGGGGGAGGCTCAGAACAATGCTTTGTTTCTATCATCATCTTCCCAGAATTTCTATCCATGTAGTGGCTTTTAATGGATGTGTTTGGGACTTAAAAACATTTTTCTCCTAGGGAATGCATGTACATGAGTAAAAAAATCAGTTTGTGCAGAAGAGCTTATAATGAGGCAACTGATTCAGGTGATGGTAAGTCTATGGGATGAAGGAATACCTGGTATAGGAAACTATTTAAAACCACCAAGAAACTTCTGCCACTAGCTGAATTTTTCCCAAGGTCATTATGAAATCTAAGTAATTTGTTTTTGTTTTCCCCTCATTTGGCTAAGAGAAAACAAAGAGCAGAGGTTTTTGTTAACTTATTTTTAAGGTGCTTTTAAAGACTCACTGTGTGTTTGGCCAAGTCATCTGACCTGATACCTTAAAGTAAAGTGATGAAAGTCCAACAACACTCTTAGCCTGAACCCAGGCTATGCCTCCCCTGAATCTTCTGAGGGGAGCGGAGACAACAGGAGGGCAAGTACTTTTTGCAGAATAAATGGTGTTTCCTCAAAGTTCCCCAGGTAGTCTTCAGTTCTGTTTGGCCTTGGCCTTACCCACTGTGGCTTCAATATTGTGAGACATAATTAAATGGAGCCACATGCATTCTAAAACAGATTCAGTTTAAAAAAGAAAGAAAGCTGCCATTTTTATTATGTTCCTAGTAGGAAACGGTTTTTGAAATTTACCTTGTTCTGTTGATTCATAGAACTGCCTCCTTAATCCTAGACTACAAAGAAAATGTGTCAGATTTTTATTTTGCATGAGCTCAAATAGCTCCAAACCTTACCATCAGGACCTGTAGCATTTTCTGTGTCACTGGAGCCTTCACTTTTCACAGGCATTCTGTGTGTGTCCTCATCTTGAGTTGAAAGAGAGAAGACAGTTCCCGATTAATAGAAAATTATAACAGCTGACTGTCAATTGTTCTGTCACCCTGCATTGTCCTCTTAAATTTAAAAATACTCCTTGGATTGAACTTCTTTTGTGGAAAAGTCTGAAGAAGGAAATAATGGGTTGAGTTGCCTGAATACTTTCACACTTTCTTCTCCCAAGTTCTCTTTCATTTTCTGAAATAATCACATGCACACATATACAAATTCTCAAATCAGAAACCTGGTAGCATGAAAGCAGAGAAACTTGATTTAATCAGGACAACCCACAGTATAAATTTAGGGAAATGTTTTACATGTGCCTTTGAGTTTTTGTAGCTTAATCTTTGAAGAGAAAAATAAGAAAACTTATTTTGCCTTAGGCATGCCTGAAAGCTGAAAGATTCATTCTTTTAGCAGTGACTTTTGTTGTTGTTGCTCTTGTTTTAAATGAATAGTTTATTTCCTTTTCTATGAGGCTTTCTCAAACGCTGCCATTTGAATCCGGTATTTAGGTGAAAGTTTACAGAGCAAATTAGTTTCTATTAAACAATTAATACATAAATTGTTTTGTGACATTGGTTGCCAATTTTGCAATGTGTCAACACTCTATCCTTTTCCGCCTCTGGTTCCCTGTTTCCATTCGTCCAGTTTTCCTGTCTCTTCCTGCCTCCTTGTCTTTGCTTTTGGGCTGGTGTGCCCTTTAGTCTTGTATACATGATTGAACTATGAAGCATATTCCTCATGTGCCTTATTGTTTGCCCTATAGACCGGTCTAATCTTTGGCTGAAGGATGAACCTCAGGAGTGACTTCTGTACTGAGCTAAAAAGGTGTTTGGGGGCCATATTCTTGGGGTGAAGATTAATTTTCATTTATGAATACTTATTGAGCCTCGAGTATGTTCAGTTCTGTATGCTTCTTGGTGAGGATGAAACAAGAACAGGAAAGAGTTAGTTTATAATCTCTTCAAAGAAATAGACCTTTGAAGGTAGAATTTGCACTCTTGGCAATGATTTTCTGAAGCTAACAATCAAGAAGTATGATTTAAAGTTGACTGAGCTCTGAACCTAGATGGACAGATGGGAGTAAGGTCAGTACTGGAAGACACTGAAACAAGCAGAGTGAGGGATGATGAAGAAAGTCATTTTAGATTTGATGTCTGAAGGACAGGGTTCTTTAAATGGAGCTGCCATCATTGCCTCCAGTGCTGAGAGAATTTCAAATTAGAGATGTGTGTATTTGGGAGTGTCTATGTAGCACTAGCACTGAAGATATGAGAGTAGATGAGAGAATCCAGGGAAAGGACAACACAAGAAGAAAAAATAATTCATGGGCTCTCAAGCCCTTCAAAGATAATGTGAAAGTAACTATGTCTGTGAGTTCTTTTCAGCAGTTCCTGAGGGTGAGAAAGGGAAAATAAAATTTGAAACTTCCAACTGTCCTTGTTAACATTATATCCTTTCTCACTACACCAATACTAGAAAGTGGACCATTTTTTTAATTGAATACACAAATTCCCAAAGAAATTACTGATGGATTTCTCTAAGCCAAGGAGCAGAAAAACTGCTAATTGTGACTCAAAGTGCATAAGTAATAATGGGAAAAAGAAATATTTGACTTTATCTGAAAGAGGAAATGTAAACATAGAAAACATTTGGATGAAATAATAAATGTTGGAGAGGTTGTGGAGAGACTGGAACACTTATACACTGTTGGTGGGAATTTAAAATGGTACAACCATTTTGGAAATTGATTGGGCACTTCCTTAAAAAGCTAGAAATAGAAGTACCATTCGATCCAGCAATCCCACTCCTTGGAATATATCCTAGAGAAATAAGAGCCGTCACACGAATAGATATATGCATGTTCATGTTCATTGCAGCACTGTTCACAATAGCAAAAAGATGGAAACAACCTAGGTGCCCATCAATGGACGAATGTATAAACAAATTATGGTATATCTACACAGTGGAATATTATGCAATGATAAAGAACAACGATGAAGCTGTGAAACATCGTATAACATGATGGAAGCTGGAACTTATTATGCTGAGTGAATTTAGTCAGTCACAGAAGGACAAATACTGTATAAGACCACTATTATAAGAACTCAAGAAAAGGTTTAAACACAGAAGAAAACATTCTTTGATGGTTACACGGGTGGGGAGGGAGGGTGAGGGTTATTCACTAACTAAATAGCAGATAAGAATCATCTTAGGCGAAGGGAAGGACAGCACACACTACAGGGGATGTCAGCACAACTGGACTAAACCAAAGCTAAGAAGTTTCCTGAATACAATCAAATACTTTGAAAGACAGAGTAGCAGGGGTAGGGGTCTGGGGACCACGCTTTCAGGGGACATCTAGGTCAATTGGCATAACAAAGCTTATTAAGAAAATGTTCTGTATCCTACTTTGGTGAGTGGTGTTTGGGGTCTTAAAAGCTTGCAAGCGACCATCTAAGATGCATCAATTGGTCCCAACCCACCTGGAGTAAAGGAGAATGAAGAACACCAAAGACACAAGGGAAGTATTAGCCCAAGAGACAGAATGGGCCACATAACCAGAGACTTCCTCAGCCTGAGACCAGAAGAACTTGATGGTGCCCACCTACCACCAATGAACGTCCTGACAGGGAACACAACAGAGAGTCCCTAATGGAGCAGAAGAAGGATGGGGTGCCGAACTCAAATTCTAGTAAGAAGACCAGACTTAATGGTCTGACTGAGACTGAAGTTACCCCAGAAAGCATGGCCCCTGGACTTTCCATCAGTCCAGAACTAAAACAATATCCGAGACCAACTCTTCAGACAGAGATTGGACTGGACTGTGGGACATAAAGTTATACTCGTGAAGAGTGTGACTCTTAGTCTAGTAAATATAAGAGACCAAAGGGGCAGCTTCTGTCCAGAGGTGAGATGGGAAGGCAGAGAGGGTTAGGAGCTGGTTGAATGGTCATGGGGATTCAGGGGCGGAAAGGAGAAGTGTGCTGTCGCAGAATGGGGTGAGCAATTAGGGTCACATAACAATGTATGTATAAAATTTTTTATGGGAGACTAACTTGAAATGTAAACTTCATTTAACTACAACAATAAAAAACAACAACAACAAAACATTTGGATGATATTGTGGGTTGTATTACATCCCCCAAAAAGATATGTTGAAGTCCTAACTCTCTGGTACCTTAGAATGTAACTATTTTTGAAAATAAGATCTTTGCAGATATAATTAATTAAGATGAGGTCATACTGAATTAGGTGGGCCAAATGACTGGTATCCTTATAAGAGAAAAACAGAGACACAGACACATGGAGAGAAGAATGCCATATGAATACAGAGACAGAAATCGAAATGATGCATCTACCAGACAAGGAACACCAAAGACTGCAGGCAATCACCAGAAATCAAGACAGAAGCATGAAACAGATTCTCCCTCAGAGCATCAAGAAGGAAACAACCCTCGCAACACCTTGATTTTGGACTTCTAGCCTCCAGAACTGTGAGAGAATATATTTCTGTTGTTTTAAGCTACCCAGTTTGTGGTACTTTATTACGGCAGTCCTAGGAGAAACTAATACAGATGGTAAAAAAAAAAAAAAAAAAAAAGACGTTAAAAAAAAAAGAAAGAGTGAAACAAATGACAAATTGAGGAAAAATATTTGCATCTTTTATCATAGCCAAAGGGTTAATAGTATCTTTACTACATAAAAGGCTTCTAAAAATAGAGATGAAGAAGATGACTACCTGATAGAAAAATGGGCAACATATTTAACAGTTATTTAAAAAAATAAAAATGGCCCATAAACGTGAAAAGATGATTCACCTTGCTCATAGTGAGAGAAATGCAAATTTAAATCACACTGAGAAAGGGATTTCTGCTTCCACCTAGGATGGACTAGCATGTTACAGACTAGTCCTGCTACTGAGAACAGTTAGAAAAGCTGGACAGATTATTTTAAAAATTATTTTAAGGCATCACAGAGCCACGAATACATCATAAACTTTAGGAAGTGTGAAATAGTGAGCCTGACATTCCACATGTTATAAGAACCTGAGCAGAGCTTTCATATGTCTTATGAGGCTGGGGGTAGAGGTTGGACAAAATTTTGGGCTCAGAGTCTAACAAGAAAGAGATGCTCTAATAAGTATCTTACGTTTCCTGTGGGGTACCCTGGGGGTAAGGATGAACCTGAAATAGACCAGCTCTTAAAAAAACACCTGAATTCAAACTTTTAATTAACTCATTCTCTGGGTTACAGTGCTCTGTCCTACTTAAACTGCCTGTCAGAGGCAAAAATTCCTCTCTGGAAGAAGAGAGAAACATCTAAAGCCTTAAGTTATCCCTAAAATTTTTCAAACACGGTGTTCAGCATTTAATTAAAAATTACCTAGCATTACAGAAGAATAAGACCAAATCATTGAGAACCAAGAAGGTAAAAAGACAACATACAGAGACCCATCAGAGACCCACATATTGAAGACACAAAATTCAAAAATAATGATTGATATGTTTAAGAAATTGGATGCCAAGTGGGAGAATTTTCATGGTGAAGAAGTTTATCAGAGGATTGGACACAAATTTAAAAAGTCAGATGAAAATTCCAGAACCAGAAAAATACAATAACTGAAGTTAACAATTCAATATAAGGGATTAATAGCAGTTAGACACTGCTGAAAAGGGGATTAGTAAACTAAAAGCTAGGTCAGAAGAAAATATATAGACTCAAGCACAAATGAAAAACACAGAAAAGAGTGCAGTGGACATATGAGACATGGTCTATCCTATGTGTAACTGGACTTCAGAAGGAGAGAAGAGAGACAAAAAGGGACAAAAGCAATATTTGAAGATATAATAGCTGAGAATTCCCCAAAATTAATGGAAGATATCAAGTCACTGTTTAAAGAGTGTTATGATTCCCCAAGCAGAATTAATGCAAAGCAAACCAGACTCAGGCCATTCATTGTAAAGCTACTAAGAACCAAT